GAGTAAAGGAAGAATCAGGCGTGTCCAGGCAAGAGGAATCAACAGCCAAAAATGGCTTTCAGCTCTTCCTCAGAGGGTTTGACCAGGACTTTGATCTGGCAGGCCAAATACCCAAGCCCTTGGTCACATGCTTTCTAATTTGGGCAGGTGACCAAATAGGGTTTCATTTTCCTCATTTGTAGAACTGGACAGGAGTGACAAAGGGATCTGGACAAGTAACAGGTGGAAGCATTTACCACAGGGAAGGCCCTGCCAACCAGTCCACGTGTTTCAGCTACCACTCCCAGTGCCAACTGTAGTCACTAGTGCCTTCCCTAAGTAAGGACGTCAAGGTAAAATACCTCTGCAAGTAATCAAAACCTTGACCATCTTCGACTGATGGCTTAGGACCTGGGCCACAAACAGTCCTAGGAGGAACTGTAGCTTCTTTCTGCCCTCCACAAGCTGTTCCACGTTGCCCTCTTTACTCAGTCCTCCCTCCTCCAGTCAAGTAGAGCTGCACTAATTGTCCATAGGCTCCTGCCTGCTGCTTGGGTGAAGATGTGCTGCCAGGATTGGCTATCCTGGCCCCACCCACACTAAACCAGGGTAGAATAGTCTAGAAAACCCAGTGCTGGGGAGCAGACTAGTTTTAGGATGAATATAGGAGAATAGGAGAAAGCAGTCTATGGCTATTACCTATTACACTCACAGGGGAAAGAAAGAGGATGGGGAGAGGGTGAGGGAAAGCCAGGTGGTGAGGGCACGAACACCAACTAGAAGGAACTGCATTGGGCCCAGAATAGGCTTGGATTAGAGGAGGGGTGACAGAGGCCAGGGTTTGGGGGAGAGGGTATTCAGAAGGAGCGGCAAGAAAAGTGGGTGGGATGGGGTGCAGAGCTCTAAGTGGACAGGACAGCTATCTTGCTTTGCTGCACTGGTCCCATGATACCTTTACTCTGTTAGCCTAACTGTCCAGAAATGCCAGAACATTAGTGGGCTCAGGGTACATGGGGGCTCCTCCTTCACAGCAGACATCATGGCTTTTAATGTTTTTTTTTGGGGGGGGAGGGGTTTCGAGACAGGGTTTCTCTGTGGCTTCGGAGGCTGTCCTGGAACTCGCTGGTCTTGAACGCAGAGATCCACTTGCCTCTGCCTCCCAAGTGCTGGGATTAAAGGCATACGCCACCACCACCCAGCTGGCTTTTTAAAATTTGTAATTTTTAATTTTATATTCCTTGGTGATTTGCCTGCATGTATGTCTGTGTGAGGGTGTCAGAAGCCATGGAACCGAAGTTGCAGACAGGTGTGAGCTGCCACGTGGGTGCTGGGAATTGAATCCAGGTCCTCTGGAACAGCAGCCAGTGATCTTAATCACTGAGCCATCTCTCCAGCCCCAAGACCATGGCTTTTTAATGACCCAAGTCTTTTTATTTTTTTGAACACGATTTTGCAATGTTAGCCCAGGCTGCCTGCCCTAGAACTTATGTACCCTGGGCTGACCTCAAGCTCATCTCAGTCTCCTAAGTGCTGAGATTATAATATGGCATATGGTGACTACAACATGTACTTCAGTTGGTGGAAAAGTGCCAAAGCTTTGTTCCTCTGTGGTTCTGGTGGACAAGGCTGCACACAGTGCCCACAGAAGAGGCCAGACCTCACTTTCCAGCTCTGTCACTGCCCCAGAACTTTTGCATTCTCACTACAGCCCGCCCCAAGGGCACAGCGCCGCTCACTCATGGCTCACCATCTAGCAATACATATATGATGCTAGGTATTAAGCCCCTGCTAGGGAGTACACCACCATTCAGCTGTGTCTCAGGTTCATTTCATGTAGGAAGTCCTCCAAACACATCTGCTTTGGTCTTAAAATCCCTCGATGACCAACTGACTCCTGATCTGCAGGTCCTCCTAATCACCCAGCTCACAGCCCTCCCATGTACATAGCCTGGTTGACTTGCCTATATCCAGAGCATCAGGTCTGACTCCAAGGACAGCCTACCCTCCTGACCAGGTATGAGCCTCTTCCTCTGGATCATCCATTCCTGGAGGGCAGATGGATGCTTCACTTGTAATGGTGACTCAGGGGACAAAGGTTTGCTACTCTGACGTCCTGGCAAGATGAGGCCATTCTTAGAGTTATAATTCCTTATGTCCCCACACCTGGTCTAGGATCTTGACTTGTAAGGTCCTCAGTCCACCCCGCACCTCCCAGCCACACACACACACAAAAACAAAAACACAGGAACTAGAAAGAAGGCTCAAAAGGAACACTGTCTGCTCTTCCACAAGATCCAGATTTGATTCCCAGCACCACTGGCAGCTCACAATCACCCATAACTTTAGCACCAGGGGATCTGATGCCCTCTTCTGGCCTCTGTGAGCTCCCACACCCATAAAATAATTTTAAAAATTAAAAAATAAAATTCTCAGGGGCTGGAGAGATAGCTCAATGGTTAAGAGCACTGGCTGCTCTTCCAGAGGTCCAGAGTTCAATTCCCAGCAACCACATAGTGGCTCAAAACCATCTGTAATGAGGCCTCTTCTTCTGACATGTATGCCTCCAGTATATAATACTGTATATATAATAAACAAATCTTTAAAAAAAATTAAGAGGAAAGATATACCACCTATGCACATAACAAATCCTAGATGGTTTTTTTTTTTTTTTTTTTTTTTAAGATTTTATTTATTATGTATACAACATTCTGCTTCCAGAAGAGTACACCAGATCTCGTAACGAATGGTTGTGAGCCACCATGTGGTTTCTGGGAATTGAACTCAGGACCTCTGGAAGAGGAGCTGGTGCTCTTAACCTCTGAGCTATCTCTCCAGCCCTAGATGGTTATTCTTAATCTGGGGAGGGCCTAGGCCCTGCTCCAAATGAGGCGACAGACTTTGAAGATCCCCCATGGAAGCCATCACCTTCCCTGGGGAGCAGAAAGGGGATGAAATAGATAGTGGGTTGGTGGAAGGGAGGGGAGGAGGGGAGGAGAGAAAGGGAGGGGAAGGGAGGGGAGAGGAAACTGGGATTGACATGTAAAACAAGATTGTTTCTAATTTAAATTAAAAAAGTATATAAACAAAAAAGAAAGACAATCTTAAGAGGAACATGCATCATACTGGCTAGTTTTTATGTGGACTTGACACAGGTAGGATCTTCTGAAAAGGAACCTTAATTGAGAAAATGTTTCCATAGGATTGGCCTTTAGTAAGTCTGTGGGGCACTGTCCTGACTGACGACTGATATAAGAGAGTCCAGCTCATTAGTGGGTGCTGTCACCCCTGGGCAGATGGTCTTAGGTGGTGTAAGAAAGCAGGCTGAGGCCAGACATAGCGTCACATACCTTTGACCCCAGCCCTGGGGAGACAGAGGCAGATAGATCTCTGTGTTGAGGCCAGCCTGGTCTACAGATTGAGTTCCAGGATAGCCAGGGCCACAAAGAGAAACCATGTCTCAGAGAGAAAAAAATAAAAAAAAAAAAAGCAGACTGAGCTAGCCATGGAGAGCAAGCCAGTAAGCAGAGTTCTTCCACAGCCTCTGCTTTGGTTCTTGCCTTTAGTTTTTCTCCTGACTTCCCTTACAAGGTGTAGGATGAAATAAACCCTTTCCTCTCCAAACTGCTTTTGGTTGTGGTATTTTTTTTTTTTTAAAGATTTATTTTGTATACCAACAGTTCAGGAGTGTTTGGACTGCATGTTTGCCTGCACACCAGAAGAGGATATCAGATCTCACTATAGATGGTTGTGAGCCACCATGTGGTTACTTAGAATTGAACTCAGGACCTCTGGAAGAACAGCTCTTAACCTCAGAGCCATCTCTCCAGCCCCCGGTTGAGGTATTTTGTTGTTGTTGTTGTTTTCAAGACAGGGTTTCTTTGTGCAGCCCTGGCTGTCCCAGAAACTTGCTCTGTAGACCAAGCTCTATAGATCCGCCCCCCCTCTGCCTCCCGAGTGCTGGAATTAAAGGTGTGCGCCACCACTGCCCAGCTGGCTGTGGTGTTTTAACACAGCAGTAAAAACCATATATACAACTAGAGTGACATCCTTTTTAATGTCCTGAGGATGGGTACTGGCACATACTGACAATCCTTCAATGAAGACACTGCTGTAGCAAATGCTTTGCCTCACTGGGTATGAGGCCAGATGCAAGGGATGCCAATGGCTATGGACCTAAGTCTCGTCTCAAGAATCTGTATGAGTAACCCTGACCTCCCATAATGTATGACCTCCTACTTCCCACTATGGAAAATCAAGTGGGCAGAGGTATCACACTTTAGACATCTTTGCAGGACCAAGATTTAAGATGGAGGGGCCTTGATTTGATTTCTCACACTGTAGACCCCAACACAGGGCCCACTAAAACAGTAGTTCTAGGTCTTCCATTAAAAACAAAAATGGGGCTGAGTGGTGGTGCTGGGAGGCAAAGGCAGGCAAATGTCTGTCTGAGTTTGAGGCCAGCTTGATCTAGAGAGTGAATTTCAGGACAGTCAGGGATATTACAGAGAGAAATCCGGTCTCAAAAACAAAAACAAAGGGGAGGGGGTGGCAGGAGAGATAGCTCGGGGGTTAAGAGCACTCACTGAGCCAGGCAGTGGTGGTACACGCCTGTAATCCCAGTACTCGAGAGGCAGAGGCAAGTGGATCAGCACAGCCTCCAAAGCCACAGAAAACCTGTCTCAAACCGACCCCAAAGCACCCACATGGCAGCTCACAACTGTCTGTAACTCCAGGATCTAACACCCTCATAAGACATACATACAGGCAAAAACAAACAAACAAAAAAACCAATAATAAACATATAAAAGGGGGGCACTGTAGAGATGGCTCAGTCATCAGTCATCAAATGTGTTCTGTTCTTGCAGAAGACTCAAGTTTGGTACCCAGCACCCACACTGGACAGCTCACAACCACCTGAAACTCGAGCTCCAGGGGAAATCAATGGTTTTGCCCTCCAAAGGTCCCTGCACTCACGCACACACAGATACATACACATAATTAAAAACAGCAAAACAGAATAAAACAATGAGTAAAAAGCATGCTTCCAAAATGGCTCTTATGTATAGTCCCTTCCCTGGAGTCATGAACATACCCCAGGTTGACTCACTGGTTTAAGGAGAGCATGAGCGAGAACACAATGAAGGATATGGAGAAAGGCTGAGCTCCTGTTGCTGTAGAGCCCTTGTACAGTCCAGGGGCATGCCAGTCTTCTCAGGCAGCCTAGTTCAGGGTACTTGTGATGCTTGTCTTTGGGCAGGAACAATCAGAACTGGCCAGCCCCAGATTGGTCCTACAGATCCAGGTCTCCCTGCGACAGTGTTCCTTACTCATTGCTCAGAGGGAGATGCTTCCTGTCCTTGCCTGCATTCCGGCGCCTCTTTCGACTCAAGAAACTCTCCAGCTTCTTGCTACGTTTCAGCTCCTTGAACTTCTCAGCTAGGGCCAACTGGCGCTGCTCAGCTAGATAAAAAGAAAGCAAGCTGGTGAGCAAAGGATGAAGACCTTGTTTCTTGGTCCCACATCAGGCATCCCTTATGCTGGGCCGTGTTGTTAAGAGCCATGGTGTTCGAGGGACACAGTAACTGTGTTGTGTGTGCTGCTGATGGCAAACAAATGGCTTCATGGATGCCAGGGCAAGGCTCTGCTAATGAGCCCCGTGAGCCAGCTTTTCTCCCCCTAGTGTTAGGAATGAATCCAGGGCTTTACTCATCCTATGCGAGCATGTTACCACTGAGCTATCAAATATCACTGCCTAAGCTAACTATTTTGTTTTTGGAGACAGGGACTTACTTTGTAGACCTTACTCTGTAGACAAGGCTGGCCTTGAACTCTTAAGAGATCTGAGAGCTCCTAACTCAGATGCTGGGATTAAAGGTGTACACTACGAAGCCTGGCCTCAGGCTAACTTTTTATGGTCAAGTCTTACTCATCTGAACCAAGATGGACATATAAATGGAAATGAAACACAGTGAGATGGAGGTAAAAGTGACAATCGCCTACTTCTTTTTTTTTTTTTTTGGTTTTTCGAGACAGGGTTTCACTGTGGCTTTGGAGCCTATCCTGGGGCACTCGCTCTGGAGACCCGCCTGCCTCTGCCTCCCGAGTGCTGGGATTAAAGGCTTGTGCCACCAACGCCCGGCATCTGTTTTTTGTTTTGTTTTATTTGTTGTTTGTTTGGTTTTTGGTGGTGGGGCAGGGACTCTAGTCCAGATCAGTCTCCAACTTCTACATATCCAAGGGCAACCGTTACCCTCTCATCCTCCCAAGTACTGAGACTGCAAGCATATGCTCTATTCTTGTTTTTATGTTGTGCTAGGGATCAAACCTAGAGCTTAATAAATGCTAGGCAAGCCGGGCATTGGTAGTGCACACCTTTAATTCCAGCACTTGGGAGGCAGAGGTAGGAGGATCTCTGTGAGTTTGAGGTCAGCTTGGTCTCCAGAGCCAGTTCCAGGATAGCCAGGGCTACACAGAGAAACCCTGTGTCAAAAAACCAAAAGAACAAAAAACAAAAATGCTAGGCAAGCAACTCCACCTCCTAAGCTGTACCCCAATCCCCCCCACACCCCACAAACAAAACCAAAAGAAAAACAAAAATGCTAGGCGAGCAACTCCACCTCCTAAGCTGTACCCCAATCCCCCCACACCCCACAGACATCATCTAACAGCAGGTACGAGACTGATCACAAGCAGCACACTTTCCTGCTATTGCCACTTCCTCAAAGGAGCTCAAGGATCCTGGCACCATGTCTAGCCACAAATCCGCCCCTCTAGCAGGCTTTCAAGAGCCTGGCCCCACTCACATTTCTTCAAGAAGTATGGCCGATGACCCTGTTGTGCCAGAGCCCGCCGCTCCTGCTTCGAGGCCAGGCGCAGCTCCTGTTGCTGCTTTCGTTCCTGCTGTGCCATTTCTTGCTGTTCCTGAGGGTCGAAGGTGAGCCAGGATGGGTATGTGAACAAGAGGGGTGATGACAAGGCTCCCACCACCCACCTGCAGCTAGCGCCCTCACCAGCCCTCACCATCCGATGAAGCAGCTGCTGCAGCTTCTCATGCTCCTCCCCCGACCGGTGCTTCTTCAACTGCTTTTTCACAAGCTTCATGTTGGAAAATGAACAGCATAGTTAACATTCTGTGCCAAGCATTATTATAAAAGGTTCCCATAAATTAACACAACAATAAACAATGTGTGTGGTGTTAGGTATCTGAGGCTCTAGCACGGTACTAAATTTATATTCTAGCACTGAGTTATAGCTTCCAGCTCTTATTAACCATTTCTTTCTCTGTCTCTTTTCAAAGTAACTGTGTGGCAATGTGTGAGTGTGCGTCCACACACATTTAAAGGGAGAAAGGCCCTGGGATTACAGGCACACATACCAAGCTTTTTAATGTGTTTTGGAAATTTGGATTCATGCATTCCTGCTCACATATTTTTATCCCTCTCATGGTTAGAACACTAAAGCAGCCAGGAGTGGTGGTTCACACCTTTAATTTTAGTGCTTGGGAGGCAGAGGCAGGATTATCTGTGAGTTTGAGGCCAGCCTGGTCTACATAGTGAATTCTAGGACAGCCAGAGCTACATAGTGAGACCCTGTCTCAAAGGAAACAAAACAAACAAACAAACAAATCCAAAAAACCCCAAATAAATAAAGGAAGGAAGGAAGGAAACAAGCAAGCAAACTAAAGCAAAGCTAGTAAAATGGTTTAGTGAGTAAAGTCACTTTACCACACAAGCCTGATGGCCTGAGTTGGATCCCTGCAACCCACAGTTGAAGGAGAGAGCTAAAACTGGCAAGTTATCACTTGACCTCCACATTCAAAGGGTAAAACATGCATACCTACACACACTAAATAAATACATACTCAAGCAACATCAGGTTAAGTGTAATCAGTTACAAACAGAAAGAGTGTTACATATTCTTTTTTGTTACATACTCTTTTTTTTGTTTTTGAGACAGGGTCTCTCTATATAGTCCTGACTGTTCTGGAATTTGCTTTGTAGACCAGGCCAGTCTCGAACTCAGAGATCCACCTGCCTCTGCCTCCTGAGTGCAGGGATTAAAGTCATATATTCTTTTTCCTTTTGATTTTTGGAGATAGGGTTTCTCTGTATAGTCCTGGCTGTCCTGGAATTCACTCTGTAGACAAGGCTGACTTTGAACTCACAGAGATCCGAGTGCCTCTGCCTCCTAAGTGCTGGAATTAAAGGTGTGCGCCATCTGCAAAGTCTTATATTCTTATATGCAGATGCCATAGTCAATCGCCAAGAAGTACAGAACAGTGGCTATGAGAGCCTACAAAGGGAGTAGAGAGGATGGGATAGGCAGAGAAGTAATTAACCAGCATAGGGATGCAGCTGGGTATTTTCAAGGTTTGACAGTACAATCAGATAACTATGGTTAACAATTAACTGAATCCAGTATTTTGTTCACTCTTTTTTTGGACGGTAGGGAGATGAGGTCTCATGAACCAGGATAGCCTCAAATTCTCTATCTTCCTGCCTCACATGCCAAAGTAGCTGGGATTGTGCTGCTAAGCCTGGCTTATCTAAGTATTTCAAAATAGCCAACGACAGCCAGGCAGTGGTGGCTCACGCCTTTAATCCCAGCACTCAGGAGGCAGAGGCAGGCGGATCTCTGTGAGTTCAAGGCCAGCCTGGTCTCCAAGAGCTAGTTCCAGGACAGGACAGCCTCCAAAGCCACAGGGAAACCCTGTCTCGAAAAACCAAAAAAAAAAAAAAAAAAAAAAAAAAAAAAAAAAGCTAACAAGATGATTTAGACTGTTCCCAACACAATAACTGAAGCAAAGGGAGCTAAGCAAGTTGATCACACAATCACAAAACTGATGAACTCACAGCAAAAACAATTTGCTTCCCATTGCTCTTCCTAGCTGCCCCATATGTACTCCAGTTTCCGTCCCCGAGAGTGGATAAACCAGGGTCATATCACATACCTCTTTTTCTTTGGCTCGAATATCGTTCAGGAATTGGTAAGTTTTGTCAAATATCTCAGGGTTATACTCCCCTGACAGATCATCAAAGCGGGGGTCTCGGGCTACCTTTGGAAAAAGCACAGAGATTATAAAGGTCTTGTTTAGTCCTTTCTCTAAGGAAGTGCCTGCTCTCTGCTCTTTCCTCACCTTTTTACTGATGGGAACAACCTGACGTAAGAATGGCACTCGAACTTTGGCTGACATTTCCAGAGGTCTAAGGAGAAATGAAAGGTCAGGATAAGTATACTACAGTCTTAGTCAAACACTGGAGTCTTCCCACCCAAGAAAACAGTTATCTAACGAAGGTCCTGGGTGTCTGCTGACTCTAAGGGCTAGTTCCTCACCGGTGCTTATCTGCAACACACACGGGTTGTCTGGGGCTTTGCTTCTCAGTGCTCCTTCCAGCTACCACCTGTTTGCATGCCTTGGGTCCCCCTTGGCTCTGCAACTCCAACAGCTCCTCAAATGACATGTCAGATGTGTCTGCTGGAGTGGAAGGTCACACAACCCAAGTCAGTACCTCCCAACAGCAAGAAAGACTTCATCAGTTAGAGACAGTCCAGCAGGTGAAGGGACATGCAGCCAAATCTCATCACTGGAGTTAGAGCCTGGAGTCACCATGGTTTAGGTAGAGAGACTTGCTAAAGTTGTCCTCTGACCTCTACATCCTCACTGCAGTATGTACATGTACATACACACACACACACACACACAGAGAGAGAGAGAGAGAGAGAGAGAGAGAGAGAGACTCATCCTATCCCCACCCTTTCCTAAGTTCTCCATTCCAGAATCATTACTATTGCTAGGCAGCATAGGTTGCAATGGTGCTACCCTGTAATGGAGCAACACTAACATCCAACTCTCCAACTAATTTGGCTACTTGACATCTCACCTTGTTGTAGGGACAGAAAGAAGTCAATCAACCCATAGCCCATTTCTTTTGCACACTAAAAAGAAATCTGTGTCACTCCTCGAAGTAATTATCTTGTCATCCCTGAACTCAAAGCTCTCCAGTGGCTTCCATTTTGCTCAGCTAGCCTGGAACTCAATAATGGAGACCAGGCCAGTTTGATGTGCTCCCAAATTTGGTTGCTTCTGCCTCCAGAGTGAGTGCAGCAGTGTGCTAGCCTGACCCAAACACTTTTTTTTTTTTTTTTTTTTTGAGACAGGATTTCTCTGGGTAACCACCTTGGCTGTCCTGGAACTTGCTTGTAAACCAGGCTGGCCTTGAACTCACAGAGATCTACCTACCTCTGCCTCCCAATGCTGGGATTAAAGGTGTGCGCCATCACTGTCCGGTTCTAAATACCTTTTCTTAGAGGTAATTGGCTTTGCTGGTTAGACTATTCTTTATCTCCAAGTGCCTGCATACAGCTCAATTAGGGCCCAATTAGCTACATACCCCTACTAAACCTTCTAGGATGAAGCCTCATCCCACTTTTGAGGATCTGCCCAGACCCGGCCTGGAGGCTTATGCCTATAATCCTAGCACTTGGGAGGCTGAGGCAGAACTGCCAAGAGTTCGAAATTGGCCTGAAAACAAAAGCAAGTAACTTCCCTCAACGTCGTAACGCCGGAAGGACTGCCTCTCACCCTCCACCGAACCGCAGCGCCCAGGGTGGCCTTCCGTTCCCGCAGCAGATGCCGCGCACTCCCACCAACCCTAGGCCCTCACCCGTCGGCTGGTCGCCTGCCACGCGCCTGCTCTGCATGGCTCCGCGGGAACCCTGGGCCCCAGTCCTAGCACCAGCTTTCGGCATATTTCGTGTAGTCCGGAGGAAGGCACCACTTCCGCTTACTGATACCCAAGTCCCACCCCCTCCGGGGCCCTGAGCCAATGTGGTGAGGGCTCTGGCAGAAGCGCAGCTCTATACCAGCCAGACCTAAATCCTGGGGTGGATTAGGTACTCCGTGCCATGGGGTTTCTTCAGATGCTAGACTGCCAAGCCAGACTCTGAAGGGAGGCCCTTTACAACTCCATCGTAGCCCCCAGAAACAGGACACGTTTTGAGGTTTTACATTTTATAAAATCAGAGCTGGCTGATCTTCGGGGGTACAGCAACAGCTCAATGATGGGAGAAGCTGTCTGTTGGTCCCCACTCCCGAGGGCCGGGGTGGGGGGTGGGGGTCAGGGGTTTCATGCCAACAGCTGAGGCTCCTTTCAGCTCCCGGGCAGGTGCTCAAGCAGGGAGAGGGATGGTGACGAGGAGAGGGAAGCTCCTGAGGCTCCAACACGGCTTGTCTTCTCCCGACTCCTGTCCCTTTCCAGCACAGCCTGGCTGCCCCGCTGGCCTGGGTCAGAGCAAAGGCCCAGGAGCCGTGGAGGGAGGTGGATGGGAACAGAGCACCAAGGGAAGGGGCCCTCGGCCCAAGGGAGGAGAGTGGCCCTCCCCCCACAACTCCCCACTGAATTCACAGCACAGAAAACACCTCTAGTCCACCAACTCCACGTGGAGGTATACTGAGTCCAGGGTCCCAAGGGGCAGGCAGGTGAGACAGGCAGGGGCAATGAAGACAAGAGCAGGCTCAGGAGGGGAGGCGGCGGAACTTTCTTCCTATAAGTTCCTATCCGTGGGAGGAGACAATGGGGCGGCTGATATTGCTGTTGGTGGTCATCGCATTGAGCTCCCACCTGGAAGGCCAAAAGGGGCAGAGAGGTCAGAGGTGGTCTCTATGGCAAGCTCCGAACTCTTTAGACAAAGCTAGGAACACAGCAGCCCCTCCAATTTCCCACAGCCATCTCTGCCTTACAGCCCTTTAACCACCAGACCCCACCCACCACTCAATCCAATACCACCTACTCATGCACCTCCAAGAGCTTGTAGATTTCCTGTTTTTGTTTATACAGATTCCTGAATCCAAGCACCTGGATAATGTGTACCCACCTCCGTAAACATCCCAGCACACCTCTCCTGCTCTGCAGATCCAGCCCAGCAGGCTTTCTACCTCTTCCCACTAGAGCACCTATTCTTGCTATTTCTATTATCTTCAGGTCCTGATTCATATCCTGTTCTCCCTAAACTTTAGGGCCTAAAGTCTTTCCCACCCACCCCACCCAATTAAATTATGTTTAAACAATCCTATCATTCAACAAAGTCTTAGGAAGTATTCCTTACACCAAGACACTAAGACATGTACTCAGTGTTAAGGTACCTGCACCTGGGATTCATCAGGTCAAACTATAAGCTCTGTGTCACAAAGGACACACACACTTTTGCAAGTAAGAAAGAACTGGCTCAAGGAGTAGGGTTGTCTCAGAGTGGCAAGCGAGAATAAATGACACATGGAGTGACATTTGGAGCATCACTTGAACTCAATACTTGAATTCAGAGGCAAGGAACCAGGACCTTTCTCACTTCTGGAACTAAGAGGGTCCAGTTAGCTTTCCCCTTGCAGTCAGCCCTGTAATTCATTCAGCCACTCTCAACAGTCCCCAAACAAAACTGCTCGAGGAAGCAGGGTTTCTGAGCATGACTATACAACTCAAAAGGTGTTTTTCAGAGCTGACACTTGTCACATGATGGCTGCACCTTCAGCTCCCTTGTTCCTCACAAAAATTTCACCTCCAGAAAATAGAAACGTCTGTCTTCTCCGTTGAGACTGAGCTAACTAGTCACACCTGCGCAGTCACTCACCCTCAAGCAACCCCTCCTCTGCAACCACTTGCTTTACCTGATATCATGGGGCAAACAGGACTGGTCCAGGTTATACTGAATCACGGCCAGCTTGCACAGAGTTTTCAGACTAGGGCCTTTAACGGAAGAGTTAAAGGACAGTCAGAGCAAAGGACAGGTCCCACCCTGATCACCACCCAGAGACAGAGAACCTGACAGTAGGAGCACTTCAGAATTAGGTACTTACTAAAGTCCAAGATGTGTAAGTCAGAATGATCTATGAGGTCAAATTCATCTCCCAGGCCTTCCTCGGGAGAGGGGCTGTACAGACACAAAGAGGAAGAATTAAGTGGCGGAACTACCCACAAGACCCCTTACTCAGATACCTCCCCCTCTTCTGTTACCTCCCCTCTTCTCTCCTAACCTGGTACCCCCGAAGAGGACAATCTTATCACCAACAATACAGCAACACTGACGCCGGCGGGGACATGGCCCTTTCCCCTTTGGTTCAATCTTTTTCCAAGTAAAGGACCCTAAAGAGAAGTTCATAGAGGATCAACACCCGGCCTACCCAGACATCGCTACACACAGTTCACCCCAGGCCCTCACTTATTCAGGGTTACTCTTTGCCTCCCACCTCACTGTCCTTTATCCCTCCCTTAAGGGTAATGTTTTTTACCAGGATTAAACTTCCAGAGGTCATGGAAGTGCCGGTTCAGCCTTGCATTATAGCCACCAAAGATGTACAGCTCCCCATTGTAGCCAACTGGAAGGGCAAAGACATGTCAAGAGCGAATGGGATACCACAGGGAAGTTCACACGAACATAACAGACACTCACAAGCTGAATGGCTCCTGCGCCCCTCAGGCAGCACTGGAGTGTGTGGACAGTCAAGCCAGGCCTCAGTTCTGGTGTCAAAGACTCGAATTCGGTTGCAGTAAATCTCATTGTTGGAATGAAACGGCCCAAAGCGGTCAGCACGGCCCCCAAAGACATACATGTGATTGCCCAGCATGGTGGCTGAATGGAAGTCCCTCCAGCGTGCAGGGTTACCCTAGCCAAGAGCAGAGAGACGGGGAAGAGCCTCAACAGGGGCTCAAGGAGGGGAAGCTAACTGAGCTTCCTAGGATTTCAACAAAAGGTGGGGATGTGACAGAACAAAGGTCAGACCTTTGTGCAAACAAGGGTCCATGTCATAGTGCTGGTATCCAGCTTGTGGATGTCATTGGAAAAGCAGTCTGCCTGAGTGAAGAGAAAGGAAAAACAGGGGTGTCAATGGTTACTCTTTAATCCTCTACACCTTCCAATTAAAGCCTTCTGTTCCACCATGAAAATTTTCCTCTTTTCCTCTTTTTGGTATAAACCTGTAGTTTTTTTCCACACTTACCAGCTGTTCATATCCCCCAAAAATGTACATGATCTTGCCCAGGACACAGGCTGAATGTCCATCCCGGGCCCCAGGAACTGTTCCTGACACTCGGGGTGTAGACCACTTGTGAGTATCTTTGGAAAGAGGAAAGAGAATGCCGTGGGCCAGCTGACACACCCACCTTAGTTCTGGCCTTCCCTTCTCTAAGACTCCACCAACAACCCCCTCCTTAGCCCCAAGGCATCATTTGAGACCATACTCACTGACATCAAAGGCATAGAGGACGTTGCAGGCCCCTTCTGTATCATTGCGCCCACCCCAAAGGAAGACCGTGTCATCGATGAGGACGGTTGAGTGTCCATACCGCATATAGGGTACAACAGGAGGCTGCCCTCGGACAGCAGGCCTCACTGGAGGCAGCTTTGTCCAACGCAAGGACACTGTGGGCACAGTTCTGCTCAGTTATGGGAACCTCCCTCCAGGTTGCCACCTTATCCCAAACTAAACATTCTTACCCAAACCCCCTGACCACAGAGACCACCACCAAATTTCATTCAGGTGCCCACTACTTCCCCAGATGTGGGAACCCAAGAAAGGTCCCAGAACTGGCTTACCAGCATTGAAAATGTGCACATCTATCTGACGTAGTGTCTCGTAGTCTTCACCAGAGCAGTAGCCCCCGAAGGAGTACACTCGGTGCCCAACAGCCACCGCAGCATGGTTCACCCTGCGTGGCCCGCCCTCCAGATGCACTGTCCACCGTAACATCCCCTGGACCACAAGTTACAGGAACATGCCCCCCCGGCACGGCCTGCTGCCTCTGCTACCTGTACAAAAGTCAGGGCCAGAGGTTCCTCAGATAAGGCTTCTGCTCGGCTCAATATGGCTGCCCAGAACCAGTCTTTGCCTCCAAGTGCCACCCTAGTGGCCCTCCCACACCACCCCTCTTCAGGGACACTAGTCACAGCTCAGGTGGCTGGCCCTGGCCCAGGGGAGCTGCAGAGGTCAAGACGCTAGCCCTGACCCTGTGTTGTCCCACAGTGAAGGGTGGGGCCACCTTAACCTGATTGCCAGCTCAGAATCTGGTGGTCATGATTCCCCTCTACACATGTCAACTCCACCCTGTCCCTGCCTTAGAACAAGCTCTAAGCCCCCATTCTCCAAACCCTGTCCATACTGGTGTGCTCTTGCTTCTGGCTCTTTTTACCACCACCTCTCTAAGAATTTCCCTCCATCTCTTAAAGGTAGGGATCTCCAAATCCTCCCAGCTATTAATAGCTCAGCCAGTCCCAGCCAGTCCACTGAGAGCTGGCACAGGTTCTTAAAGTAAAAAAGCTTTAGGCTTCTAGAGAACAGTGTCCCTACCTAGGACAGGGAACTCCATGTAACCATGGTTGATTAGCCCCTCACACAGAGTTCTTGTCAAGCTGATCCGTTGTCCCTGGGGTCACTCAGGATGCCCTCAGGCACGAGGAGTTCCTTTGACAGCTGTGGCTCGTATGCTGCCAGGACTAGAAACTTAAGCCAGAAAGGTATGTGTATATTGGGGTTGGGGGCAGGGAAGAGGAGTTTTTCCCTTGCCACTACCCCAACCTTACTATCC